CATTGCGCCATGCCGCCATCGCCGGATCACCTTCGTATTCTCCTTGCGACTCGTTCCGGAACCTGATGCTAGGGACAGCGTTGGGCATCCACCGTTCGGGATCGCCTCACTACCACTCTCGCTACCAAATAACGATATCGCCGAAAAGAGAGTTTCGCCATTGAGCGACGACCAGCGATTGAGTTTGGCTGGCTTGCGGGAACTAGAATCGCGCATATCGCGCAAGACTGTTTCGTGTTGTCCCATGGTTCACGTACATCTCGCGTAGAGAACTTTTACCGGCATGATGCTTGTTTGCAACGTGATTGATGATCAGACCGAAGGATTCCCAGGCTCTACCCTTTCATCTTCGTGCCGTGCTTGTGCGGCGTTCATGCGACTGGGATGCACCACGTCACCGCCTTTCTAAGGATCATATTATGGTTGTTATAGGCACGTGTGTAGTAGGTCCTTTTCAGGCAGGAATGGCCGGGCCACGTGATTCTGTCGCTGCTGGGAACCTCCTTGCCAACATCAGGCACACAACGTGCATGAGCAACGACCGAGGATTCTGGAAAAGCTGGGGTTGACCTGGTTGCGTGCGCGCTCAGGTACAGACGCTGCCCAAGGGGCGCAGATGAATCATGCGGTTGTTCGGGCGACAATGAAGCTGTTGTCTACATGGAGGATGCCTGGTAAGCTTGCAATGGTAATGGTGAGTAGTTCATCGAGACAACACGATCTCCATCGTCGATGTAGGGCTGTCTTCTCCTTTGTCATTTTTCCATCATCATCCTTGCGCGCACGACTCCTTCGCGCCAGCGCCAGCGCCCTTGTTGCCTACGCGATGCGACGACCATGCGGTGTGCGAATGTGAGGCTGTCAGCTATCGCCAAATGCGTGCGCTCGCCGAGAAAGAGAAGGAGCGGGTGGCCTCGTGAATCCATCGACTAGGTCACTCCAGGTTACACAAAGTACGCAGCGCAACATGTGGATCGCGAGGAAGTTCCTGCGAAGCTGCCCCGTAAGGGGTATCGCTTGACCTTGCCGAAGTGTTGCGAAGAGTTCTTGCGAAGGAAGTTTATCGGTTCAATATGCCGAAGAGTCGCGAAGAGATTCCGCGAAGCTACTCTATATCTGTACCGGCTGAAGCCGAAAGGGTGCGAAGCTGTTCTGCAAGTGTATCGGTTGACCTTGCCGATGGGGCGCACAGAGTCCCTACGAAGCTGCCCCGTAAGTATACCGGCTGAACTTGCCGACCGAAGAGCCGCAAAGAGCACAGATCTGAGCGGCGTTGAGGTCGAGTGACCTGACTGCGCTGACTTGCAGCCGATCGTCATTACTAATACGCCGCGAAGGGGCGAATGTGTTGTTGTGAAGCCGAGCGCACTGGAGAAGATCTGAGCACGTCTCCATATGTGTCCTATTTGGCCGCATGTAAAGAACGTACGATCTATCGAGCTGTACACGCAAGCACGGCGCAAGAGACACGTGGTGTTGACGCAAGCTTGATGCGATGGGGCGTTATGCGGTTTGTGTCTGGGGAAAGAGCCGATAGCTTTGGAGCGGTGCTCGGGTCAGAAACGTTGTAGTGCAGCGGGGCGGTGCAGGAAGAAGGCGGTGTGGGCGCTATCTAGCAGTAAAATCATGTATAGCGTGGACAAGGTAGAAGATATGTCTCAAGCGACCAGCGTAGTGGAGATGGTGCAGATAGCTCTCTGCAGTGCACTAGACGAAAAGAGCCATCTCCAGTATCTGATTTCGAAGGGAGTCTTCGGTCATCGATCAGTGTGAGTATCACGCAGTCCTTCGACTCGTATGGTCTGATGATGCGTCGGAACACTGTCGTATCAGTTTCTTCGATCTACCATATATTGCAATTACATAGTCATCCAACCCCTCTTGGAGAACTATTCAGAACGCCGTTTTCTCGGCAACGGTCGTTGCGCATAAGTTTCAGTGAATATACCATGACTTCGTTCTAATATATGCGATGCCTTTTGCGGCTACATCCGGGAAGATACATGTGTATCAAGTGACTAAGGCGCAGTGAAAGATGTGGCAGTACCTGCATGGGTAGGACACAGTTGTTCGTAGGCTATGTTCAAGCCATTCACCTTGTCCGTGTATGCAATAACTTGGTAAGAAAAAGCCAGACATCTCTCATCACTCACTGCATTGAACTATATATGCAGCCCACCGTTCTGCATCCAGTGCCGATTTCAACATCCTTATTATCCCGCTTGCAATGTCTTTCCCCATGACGTGATTTTTACTCCAGCTCATATAGCTCCTGTGGGCCTTCCGATTGATCCAAGAGATCGAGGTGAAGCACCAGATTACCATCGTCCCTGCTATCGAGTTCATCGTATGGCGCGAACTTTGCCAAGATCCTACGGCTTAGTGATAAGTCAACGAAGCTAGTCCGATTGTTTGGTGGACCGGAGCCGCTGTGATTTAGACTCCAGCTGGGCTCTTCTTTGATCTCGCTAGCCAACGTGTTTCCTATCCATGGTCCACCATTGAGGGCCCATGAGACTTGTTTCTGTGAATCGATATCTCGCACTATATACGCCATGTCATGGATTCTCTCTTGCTCGACAGTAAGGTTATCTTTATCGTCTCCTGCATAAATGATTTTGCACGCGTATCGCCCGACATGCTGCAGCTCGATGTTGAACAGTATCAGTAGATTAGAGTAGTAGTCCTTGTTCAGTAGCACCGCCCCTCGCCGACACCTGACAGGGAATTGGTACGCTGATACAACGGCCGTACTTGGTTCATGACCGCAGTAGTCACTACAGTAGGCTCCATTGAATAACAATCGAATGCCTTCACCAATGACTACCCGGAGAGGCCGTCGCTTTTCTACTTTGGTGCTAGGCTCTTGAACCATGAAAACAACTGTGGGTGTGCGGCCCTCCCCTTCTCTAGCCATCTCAGGTCCAATGGAGCAAGATTTGCGGGCATAACGATTCGTTCCTGGTGGCCCAAGGCGTGAAACGGGTAGAACACACCGTGTGTTGTAGGTTCCGCAATGTAAAATAGCTAATGCATCGGGGCCTTCATCCTGATGAACGATCGGAAGCTCGATCCTTAAGCCTTTGTTCGTCATTGAGTACGGACTCTGGAGATCGTCGTCAAAAATAGGCATCAAATTGCTGGCCCCTCGAAACTTGCACGGGTGTGTAGCTAAAGGCCCACAGAGATGGTCCCCAGTATTTTGTAAGCCCAATCCCCACGCAAAGAGAGTTTGGTCATCTGAATTTTTCATGATCTCTTCCTGTGAGAAGTGAGCGGGAGACGATGAAGAGCCAAAGGTATGGCCATCCTACCTGGAGGCGGAGAAACGCCTTGCTACCTTCTCCATATAGCAGCGGCATGTTGACACCGAAAAGTCCTAGCAGGCAGTACGCTAAGTCCTCTATCCTGGTTGTCTCCCGTTCAGAAGCCCAAGACATGCGCTGTGCAACACTACACTGCATGACGTTCCCACCGAGTAGTATGCGATGTTCGATGCCTGTTCTTTTCGCTACCAAATCAAGCAAAGTATGTCTGTCGCCAATCTTACTCCAACCGGTAGAATTATTGGCATAGAAAACGATCTCAGATGGGGCTATCAGCTCTTGCAGCGTCCATCCTCGTGTCCACCAGTTGCTGTTCACGACACGTGCAATGGGGTCTAATCGCTGCAGAGCAACATCTTCCCCTGGGGTTTTCCAGGGACCCCTTAGTGCACCTCCATTCCCACCCAGGTAGTCCCAGACATCAACTGTTCCGGCCCAGGCCCCATTGGCATCTTCTCTTTTGTATGTAGGCCAGGTATGTACGTCGGCTAAGTAGGCGTAACAAACTACAGACCGTTGATACCAAGCATACATTGAGTTGATGGCCTCGGACAATTCTGCGCTCGAGGATTTGTCGATACAGCATGTGTCCACCCACACGTACGCTATCATATCTTCCAACGCCTGTTCGCAACACTTCTGTATCTTTTGGAACCCACTCTTTCTTTCTGTGGCGGCGATCCGGATCTTGATCTCCTGCTCATTGGCAAATCGGAACCTTGTTCCTGTGGTAGGCGCCCGATCGCTCATCTCTTGATAGGTGATCTCTTCACCCTCCCAACGATGCGAGAGGATAGCATATGGTGGTATGGAAGAGCCCTCGAACTGGTGAAAGGTCATATCAATCGCACGGAGTAAGCGCATGTTGTCGTTGGATCCCGTGCGAAGTCTTTGGCTGACGATGGTGTGTTATGTGCGAGAACAGTCATTGAAGCGACCGTAAGTATTGCTAGTAATGTAAAATTTGCCTGAGGAAGATTGTAGCGCAGCATCGTAAGAGCGGCTGAGAGGTGGCAAGGCTAGGCAACAAGCCGTGGGGGCTGAAAGCTGCAGGAGCCGTTCCACCATCGCGAGGCAGCTGGCCGTCACGACCTCGCTCTCGCGACAATTTTACGACGAGTTACATGGACCGAGATAGAGATACAGAATAGAAGTTAGCCTTCACTAGAGGTGGGATATTTCACTCATCATCATAGCGTGTGCATCGTATGGAGGAAGGAGCGTTGTGCCGCAGACTCAGCTTGGTAGGATCTTGAGGCTCCGCCACTAGGCGGCATCACACATCAACTTTTTGTCGACCCTGCCGAGATACTGCAGACCCGGCAAAACAGGATGCACATGCATGTACATCAGAGGAAGGGAAATTTGTCAGCTTCAGGAATTAGATTCACGTGAGAGCTATACAGAGCTTCGAATATCGGGTGGTTCGAACAGTCACCTGAAGGCAATCGGGTTTCGTATCTTGATATTGACGTGCTGCACACACAAACAGCTAGTCAGCTGAAGGTAGCGCATCAATACCCGCCGCGGTGGTCCGAATTGATACCATATAAAAGAGCACCAGAAGTCATAGTCTGCACACTACAGGGTAAATTGAAGTCCAGCTCAATCACCCTACACGACCCACATGTGAAGGTGCCAAGCAGCGTCATGCGCCGTTTCTCTTGAACCAATCTAGAGCTCAAACGCTCCATCCTCTTGCTGGCCTATTCCGAACCAGCTTCCGAGGGTGTTCCAGGCACTCTGCTTCTCTCCAGGCAGCTGAACGCCATCAATCTCCTCCTGAGTAACGCTGTACCATTCATCCTTGGGAATCCATCCAATGTATGCACGGTCTCCGAAGCCTCCAATCCAGTATATCTCCTCGACAACGAGACGCACCCACTTGCTCTCGTGAATGCCACTGCCTGGCAGCCACCATGCAGCATCCGGGTGCTTCTTGACATAGCAAGCCGTCACACCCAGCTTCTTGACAGCATCCATATCGATGTCCTCGAGTCGTCCGACGAGTGAGAAGCGAGGGAGAGATGCGGGACTACGCCACTTGTTGTCCTGGGGATGCCATCGCATGCTCAGGGTGATGTTGGAGCCGGCATCTACGTTCTTGAAGGAGGTCGCGATGGTGATGGCGAGGATGGTCGGGTTGCCTGAGTCGGACTCGCAGTCGCCGAAGTAGTCCATCAAGCCTATGGGCGCGCCGCCGACATCCGAGGGTCGTTGCTCAGTGGTGTGAGAGTCTGGGAAGACGGTAGATAAGGTGCCGATGTTTTCTAGGCGCATGATCCTGCGAGCTTGGACGGCGGACTCGTGGACCGTTGGGATCTTGAAGCCGGATCCATCGCTGGAGGACGGGTTCGCGAAGAAGTGCTGTGGTGATGGCAGGTTGGACGCCGTGGTGACGGAGATAAGGCCTATGAGGGCAGCTTGGAGACGCATCTTGCTACTGCTTGTATCCGAGTGATGCAGAGATGTAACAGGGTGTTTCGAGAGCAAGATCGCTACAGTGAAGCGTCAGTGAAGGTGGTGGCTGATGGCAAACAGCGACGCGTCCGAGCGAAGCTACGGGACGCATCATGCGACACCCAACCGCGGCGGGGATCTCCGACTAGGGTAAAGGTAAAGTCTATTGCGGAAGGCATGACCGTGTCGGGCACAGAGATGGCTCATCCATAAGCATCTAAATACAGCATGACCGCGCTGCTTGATAGTGGCTTGAGGGTCATTGAGAAAGTCGGCGTGTCTAATCTGTTGTCCGTTGTACTTGTTGATGGGCCGCATTATCTTATCTGATCATCTCTGGTAGATGTGGAGGCGAGATTCCCACTCAACAAACATCTAGACGCAACAGCCTAACAGACGATGATTTTTGCATCGGCATAGCCAGCTGAATGCACTCTGATGATTCATTATGTATTGGAAGTGCCTATAGTGAATGCATAGTGGCCGTTGCGCTGAGCTCGATGCTCACACCTCGATGCACTAGCGCTACACGTGATCTCGGCTAATCCGGTGAGCCGCCGTCCACAGCCCTGGAGTCATTTTGACCCTCTCGTCGCCGCCCAGTCATCGAACACCCAACGACCGCAACCTGTACGTATTTCGCCCGCTCCTACGACTGCACCTGCATCAAACGCGAAGCCTTGCGAAACCAAGACTTTCAACTCGCACCCAACACCCGAAACCCCAGAGGTACACCGCTAATCGGACTTTGCCACCACACAGACAACTTCGAACGACTCATCACACCCATCAACAACCGCCAATATGGGAAAGGTTCACGGATCCCTCGCTCGTGCCGGAAAGGTCAAGTCTCAAAGTAAGTCTTAGCTCATGTGGAACGATTGCGAATGTCTGCTAACAATTAATAGCCCCCAAGGTAAGCTTCACCCATCGATACACCCACGCCTCCAGCCGATAGCGACACGTCGAATCACGACCACGATCACGCGACGCCTGAGGAGAAGGACAGATTGATTATGGATGCTATGTGGATGTGGACAGCCGGCTGACACGCTACACAGGTTGAGCCCCAGGAGAAGAAGAAGACCCCCAAGGGCCGCGCCAAGAAGAGGCTCACATACACCCGCCGTTTCGTGAACGTCACCATGACCGGTGGCAAGCGCAAGGTCAGTAGACATCGCGCATTTGTATGATGGGCAAGAACTGACACGTCCCAGATGAACCCTAACCCAACCTCATAAGCCAAACACTAGAGGAAGGGCGAACGAAACGAGCACTATGAGCTAGAGAATACGGTCATGAATTCGGTTTCTTCAGGATGGCTATGACTCTGGATCAGAGGGAAGTGGGAATCACGGACGTCGCCACGGCACGTTCCTCAGTAGCAGCATGATCCCACACTTTGGGATGATGGGGGCATATTCATGGCGTACATGTACATTCTGCTTTTTGCACAGCTGCATCACGAATTCTAGCTGCTTGTGTTCCCAACTCTGGTGTTCTTGGATTGTGTGCCGTGTGTTGTTTCCTGTCGCGTTGGCCGACCCTCCATGCTTCACTTGACCCGATGCTGTATCCATCCTAACAATCGCGTTTCAGCCCCCAATGTGATTACATTATTTTACGTCTTCGAATTGGCGCCATCATAGCACCTTGGTCGCATTCAAAAGCGGACAAGCCCGTCCAGCTTGTAAGAAATCCGTCATCAACAGCGAAGCACCCTCGGTAGGCTTGCCTTCATCCAGATTTATAAGCTAAGAGCTTTCTAAGCTCTGCATTATCTGTCTTTAGTCCAATCCTCGAGTGCTGCATCGTAGATCTCTCAAGATCATACTGCGGTGGGAACGGCAGGTCCAAGCGGCGATCTACGTCACACCCGAACCTCACTCCACTTGAGCTGTCAGAGCACCAACACCTCCATTTGCAGAGCATCAACAGTACAACACCAACACCAACAGCAAACATGTTCAAGCGATTCTTCGGAGAGGTAAGCCATTCCAGAATTGGTTCTCAGCATCACCTGCTAATACCATCCAGCACGGCGCAAAGAACGTCGTGACACTCTTCCACGCGCCTTCGAACCAAGCTTCCACTCGCGTCCTCACCCTCCTCAAACAAGCCAACGCACAATCCGTTGCGCATGCGACTGAAGACCAAGCCAGCTCCCACAAAGCGCAGGACAAGGCCGAGCGCACAGAGTTCGAGCTTGATGTCACAGAAGCCCCACCCACAACCGACCAGCTCAAGAACATATTGGACTACTTGGGCGGATCAGGCGCGGCAGGCAAGGTTATCAGCGGAGCGGAAAATGAGACTGATGCCATGAGGAGGTTGAAGGCGGACGGAGGCGCGTTCCAGAGACCGCTTGTCGTGGACTGGAATCAGGGAAAAGCTGGTATGTCCGCAAAGGAGAAGAGAGGCTACTCGTGCTAACCCTGACAGTCGCTGGAGAGAATGAGAGCGAGATCATGAAGCTGATACGGTCGGTACCGAAGGAGACGGAGAAGGTGTAGAGCGTGGAGAGATGCGATCTGTACTATACCCACTCCACTCAGCCTGTGATTCCGGATACTACATACTGGAAGTAACTATTGGCCTTCGAGATTGCTGGACCCGGTATGTCTCAAGGCTTCACCGCTCAGTAGCTCGGGAAGAGACCCATTGCCAGGCGGCCGGTAGCTGCGCCGCCGGTAAGACACTGATGCAAATCAATGCACATGCAAAAGAAATCCCAAGAAAAGCTTCTTCCAACACTTCGTAAGGTGTAAGTGTCGTATTCTCTTACTGTTCGTCGCGTCCTTTTGCTTCACCATGTCGAAATTCTCTGTGACTACGTCTTTCTGTTTCTGTTCTTTTCCAGTCACTCAGCATCTTTACAAGTCACGCCAAAGCTATATAGTTGGGCCAATAGCATGAGCGGAAGAGCGGCGCGCGGAGATTTCGAGCGTTGGTTACTCACGCTCACCTCCTCTTTCTGGCGGCGCCAAGACTTGTTGCTCCTTCCACCTCAAGCAGCGACGAACTCTTGTTTATCGTGCACCCTCGCGCTTGCCACAAATCTCTCAAGTATTCTCAAACTCGCGTTCTCCATCGCCGTTGCTAGTTTCCAACGGCATTCGGCGCCGCTCAAGACCTTCCCCTGCTGCAAACACCACCTCCAGTTGTCCCACGCCTACTCACTTGCACCTCCCTCGTCAAGCGAGTAGTGAGTTCAGCTATGTCGGACACCGCCCAACCGCCGGGAACTCCACCCGCTGCAGACACGCAAACCGCACCAACTGCAGGCGAGCAGCCTGCGTCCCCCACCGATATGAACAACACTGTCGTCGACCCAGTCAACCATGCAACTAGAGACCCCAAGTTCAGCCCGGGAGCCGGCCAGGCCTTCTTTTCTACCGAACTTGGTACCCGCGCTCCCCGCTCACTAGGTCCAATTCGTGCGCCCGTCATCGCACGTAGCGTCCAAGGTCCTGCGGCTGTGGTGCAAGCAGCGACCCATTGGCAGGTAAAGTACAAGGATCAGTGAGTAACCTTTCGTGTTCCACTCGAAGCCCACGCTGACTCAAATAGGTGTCTCTGCATTCTACCCTCACAGGGGTGGACCGTGGAAGACCTATGGGATGCCGAAGATGTCCACATCGAGGGCAGGAAATTCTGCGAAGAGATGTTGACCTTCATATCCCGAAACACCTACTACGCAGCGGACCGATTCGCTAAGGATTGGGCGCTCGCGCATCCAGATCGAGTCGACTTTATCGGGCTTCAGATGGGCAACGTCTACGACATGAACGATCCGCTTGCCATCGTCGACCAGATCTTCGTGTTCGGCGAGCCTCTCGGGTTCCCTCGTGTGTTCCTCTGGCACGTCGCTCATATTCTGATTACTACATGGATCGAGATGAACAAGGCGACTAATGAGACACTGCGCGAGAGCCTGACGCCACAAGCCCGCACTTGGGGTCAACAGTCCACCAATGAAGCAACTCAGCCTTCGTCCACCATTGTCGAGATGTCTACAGACAAGAAAGGCAGTAAGAAAAACCGCAAGATCACACGATCTCGACCCAGCAAACTGACCACACCGGCAGAACCTTCGTCCGCCGTCGATAAGCCAGACCATGTCGCGAATGAGTCTTCCGGAGTACCAGATCAGCCCAACATGCGCTATGCTCCTCCACGCATCCCATCGCAGGGTCTTGTTCAGCGTGGGGGTCATTCTGCTCCGTTGAGGAGCGGCGATATGAGTGTTCCGGCGGGGCCCTCGAGGCCGTCGCCCAACATGCATGCGCTATCCTTGAACATTCCAAAATCCAATCGTAACATGAACTCCGGATCCTACGTTCAGCAACACGGCTGGGTCGAGAACAACAACCGCACTGCATATGGTCCATACCCACGACAGCCTTCTGGCGCTATGCCTGCCATGCAGTCGCCTCACTTCCTACCTCCGCAAATGGCACCGGGCCAACATATCGCTCAACCAATGATGTCGGGTGTAGTTCCGTATGTTCAGGTGGTCCATCATGGCTTTGCTCTCCAGCACCCCGACCCTGGCCTGATGTCTCGAGCACAACTCAACTACCAGCAGAACATGATGCAAGCTCAGCCAATAAACCCTATATTCACGCAGCAGCCACACAGCCAGCACGTCTCGATGGGCGACATGACTAACAACATGATGCTTCAACACCAGGATCCTCGTGCGCCGGTGCCCCGTCGTTCCAATCCACCGCGCAACCCCCAAGAGCTCTACGATCCTTACGGTGGCAACAACCCTAAGTTCAACGGTGCCCCAGGTCATAACAACACAGGCCGGAAGGGTGGTAACAGCGGCTTCGCCGCTCAGTCTGGTCGTGGCCGCAAAGTATCCAACCCAGGCGGGCGGGAGTCATATAACAGGTCCAACGCTGATTACAACGGCAACGTCCCATCCAGCGGACCTCGATATGCCGACTACAACAATCGCCGTCGCCCAT